CCCTGTGCCCTGGCCCTGGCACACAGGAGGTGCTCAGTAAACCTCTGTGGAAGGAAGAGATGTCTCTCACAAGAACTGAGGCTTTGCAGGGGCAGGGACCTTGTTTATGTTGTTGCTGAAGGAGGAAGATTATCTCAGAGCCTGCTCAGAACCTCTGCTTTTCTTTAGAATCTCTGCACTCAATGTCTCCACCTCCTCAGACCTGACAGCGCTCTCCAGTCCAGCCCTGGGAGAGCGCACAGGTGGAAGAGGGGGAAGCCGGTCTTTCTGAGACTGGACTCCAAATCCCTGTAGGATGCTTCTGACCCGATGGGATGGGACACCGGCATTTCACAGCTCCACTGCCACCCTTAGCTGTGTTTATGTAGGGGCTGTGTTTACTGAGGCTTTAGGCCACAGCAAAAGTCCCTTTGTCCCGTGAAGACTAAGGCCTCCTGTTCAGCTAAAGGACCATCTGTGTTCACTTGGGCCTCTGGCCTCAGCAACTCCCTGCCCTGGGCCTCCATATTTACTAAGCCCTACTCCTTCAGCAAAAGGATCTCCCGGCTTTACCACGGCCACCTGCATGTGTGGCGAACATCTTTATTTTTGTTTTATTTTACTTTTGAGACGGAGTCTTGCTCTGCTGCCCAGGCTGGAGTACAATGGTGTGATCTCTGCTCACTACAACCTCTGCCTCCTAGGTTTGAGCGATTATCCTGCCTCAGCCTCCAGAGTAGTTGGGATTATAGGTGTGCGCCACCACGCCTGGCTAATTTTTCCTATTTTTAATAGAGACGGGGTTTCGTCATGTTGGCCAGGCTGGTCTCAAACTCCTGACCTCGTGATCTGCCCGCCTCGGCCTCCCAAAGTGCTGGGATTACAGGCGTGAGCCACTGTGCCAGGCCTACATCTTTATTTTTGTTCTGTCTGCTTGGGAGAAACTTCTCTTGGATTTACACCACCTTTGAATAAATGTAGGGCTCTTCACTTTTAGGAAACACACCCTCAGCTTTGAGTAGGGTTCCCAGCTCTCGGTGAAAACGTCTTAAATAGCCCTCACGTCTGCTGTCACCATCCTGACACCCTTGCCATGGCCCCAGTTTTGGCTACCAGATCCATTCCGGGACCTCTGTCCCAGCTTCTCCCTGGGCTCCTGGCTCAGAATCCTCCCTACTCCAGTCTTTCCTGGACACGGCCCCAGAGGCATCTTTCTGACATTTAGAGCTGCCCCTGTGGGCTCTAACCCTCCGTAGCACCCCATCACACCAGAAGAATTCCAGTGCCTTAGGGAGGGCGTCCTGCACAAGGAGGAGCGGCAAAGCTCGCAGGGGCTCGGGGCGCCCATGCCTGCAGGCCTCTGAGCCTCGCACATTTGTCCCCATCTCACCCTGTCCTGTGCTCATTCTTACTCATCTCCAGCTCCCAGTTTAAACATTACCTCCTTCAGGAAGCATTCCATGATGCAGCGTGCTGACTTAGAAGCCCCACCTTGGGCCTCCCCTGTGTCCCTCCTAGGCTCCACGGTGGCATGTATCCCTCCGGGTCTTGACTTGCCAGTGTCCCTGCCTGCCTCTGCCATCAGACAGGGAGCCCATTGAGGGCAGGGACCGGGGCTGACTCAGCCGCATTGCCCCACCGCCCTGCGCAGGACCTGTCAGCTCCAAGGAGGTGTCAGGAAATGTTTGCTGCATGAATAAAGGGGTGATCAGTATCCCTCCTTTGCTCAAATATCCTCCATGGCTTCTGCAGTGCTCAGAACCAAAGACAAGCCGAAGTCGCCTCTCCCTCTCACCTCTCTCCACTTGCCCCCTCTGCTTTCTCCCTCAGTCTCAGAGTTTGCACTGCTGTTTCTTGCCAGGAGCACTTGCCCCTGTTTGCCACCTCTCCTCACCCACCCCCTGCCCTACCCCACCCTCTGCTCTCTGCCTCACCCACCCTGTGCTCTCTGCTCTTTGAGATGTGCAGAGAACCCCAGGATGTGGAGGTCTATGGTGGTTGACGATGTGAGAGGAACCCCATGCACCCTCTAGCCTGTGTCTTTCCCCATAACAGGAAATCATGATGCCTTTCTTTCAGATTATACAGCCACCCTCACTTGTTTACCATTTATCTATGGCTGCTTTCAACATACAACAGCACAGTTGCCATAGAGACCCTATGGCCCACAAAGCCTGAAATATTTGCTATCTGGCCCTTTACAGGAAAAGTTTACAACCCCTGCTGTAGAGTCAGGCAGTCAAGGGAAGTAACATCACTGAGCCTTAAGATCTTCATCTATGTAGAATTACAAGGCCAGGCACTGTGACTGGTGCCTGTAATCCCAGCACTTTGGGATCACTTGAGGTCAGGAGTTCGAGACCAGCCTGGCGAATATGATGAAACACCATCTCTACTAAAAATACAAAAATTAGCCAGGTGTGGTGGCGCATGCCTGTAATCCCAGCTACCTAGCGGGGTGAGGCAGGAGAATCACTTGAACCCAGGAGGTGGAGGTTACAGTGATCTTGGTTACAGTGAACCAACATCATGCTACTGCACTCCAGCCTGGGTGACAGAGTGAGACTCCTTCTAAAAAAAAAAAAAAAGAATTACACTAGTACCCAACTCATATATAACATATATCTCGCCTTTTACACTAGTATTATGAGAGTTGAGAATAATAACCATTTGTTGAGCACATACTATGTACCAGAAGCTGCTCTAAATTCTTTGGGGTGTTGTTAATTCAATTTGACTTCACATAAATCCTATGAGGCAGACATTGCTATTATTGCCCTCACTTTACAGATGAACAGAGATGATGCATGGCACATAGCAGCCCCTGTTGATTTTTTTTTTAACCCTCACACCCCAGCTGGCAGTGATTGAAACTGAGCTTTCAAGGCTCTTAACACTTTCTTTTTTTTTTTTTTTTTTGAGGCGGAGTTTCGCTCTTGTTACCCAGGCTGGAGTGCAATGGCGCGATCTCAGCTCACCGCAACCTACACCTCCTGGGTTTGGGCAATTCTCCTGCCTCAGCCTCCTGAGTAGCTGGGATTACAGGCACACACCACCATGCCCAGGTAATTTTTTTGTATTTTTAGTAGAGACGGGGTTTCACCATGTTGACCAGGATGGTCTCGATCTCTTGACTCGTGATCCACCCGCCTCGGCCTCCCAAAGTGCTGGGATTACAGGCTTGAGCCACCACGCCCAGCCCCGGCTCTTAACACTTTCAAGTGACCTCTGTGAGGTCACTGTTAAGCCTGATTGTGGGCCACGTCTGCTCATCTGTGTGTGTTGGTTCATTTGTTAAATTTTTTTCCTGAGGTCTCCTTGTGCCAGGTTAGCCCTGGACTCGGTTCAGGTAACACGAATGAATCAGACTTGCTTACTGTCCTCTGAGCATCTCCCACCCCCCACCCTGTCCTGCTGATGGGGAGACAGGGACTTAGTGCAGGGCAGTAAAGCTTGACATGGAAGTGTTAAGGGCCTTGAAAACCTGAGCCAGAGGACACAGCTGACCTTACCCAGATTCCTAGCCCACTGAAACTGTGAGGAAAACACAAACTTTATTGTTTATTAAGCTGCTAAACTTGCGGCGATTTTTACCCAACAATAGGTAATGAATACAAGGATACTGCTTATTACTCAAAATCACTATATAAAGCCTCTGAAAAATGGAAAGCTGAACTAGAGAAACACTGAGAGTCTCCAAGAACACTGTTTCTTCTTAGAGACAATGAGAAAAGCACATACATGTTTCTTCCTTTTAGTTTTGGCCACCAGGAAGCTCAGAGCCAAATATATGGCCCAATTTTAGTAATTGTGTAAGCCCCTATAACCTGCATATCTGTGTTCTTATTCCTGGCCTTTCATTTTATTCTATTTTCTCTCTCTCTCTCTCTTTTTTTTTGAAACGAGACGGAGTTTCCCTCTTGTTGCCCAGGCTGGAGTGCAGTGGCATGATCTCGGCTCACTGCAAACTCCACCTGCCAGGTTCAAGGGATTCTCCTGCCGCAGCCTCTCAAGTAGCAGCTGGGATCACAGTCATGTGCCACCACACCTGACTAATTTTGTATTTTTAGTAGAGACAGGGTTTTCCATGTTGGTCAGACTGGTCTTGAACTCCCGACCTCAGGTGATCCGCCTGCCTCTGCCTCTGCCTCCCAAAGTGCTGGGATTACAGGCATGAGCCACCGATCTTGGGCCTGACTTTTCCTTTTCTTGGTACTGATTTTATTAGCTCATCTACATTTTTCTAAATTATATGAATTATGATAAGCCATCTCAAATTTAACTTACAGAGAAGCAAGGCATTTGTAAATTTGTTTTTTGTTTTGTTGTTTTTTTGAGACTCTCACTCTATGGCCCTGGATGGAGTGCAGTGGTGCGACCTCGGCTCACTGCAACCTCTGCCTCCCAGGTTCAAGTGATTCTCGTGCCTCAGCCTCCCAAGTAATTGGGATTACAGGTATGCACCACCATGCCTGGCTAATTTTTTATTTTTATTTTTAGTAGAGATGGGGGTTTCATCATGTAGGCCAGGCTAGGTCTCACACTCCTGACCTCAAGTGATCCACCTGTCTCGGCCTCCTAAAGTGTTGGGATTGCAGGCGTGAGCCACCGCACGCAGCCCATAAATCATTTTTAAAAAATAGATTTAAAATTTAAAACATAGTTTTGCACATTAAAAAAAAAAAAGTTTTGCAAGGTTGAACACAAAGTTCCCGGAGGTGGTGGTGGGAAGATCAGGTCATAGGAGGGTGGCTCAGGAGCCCCAAGCATTGGCCAGGGGTGATTTGGATTGGGTAAGAAATATCAAGTGATAATGACGAAAGAGGGAAAAAGGATGGCAACTGATTGCCATCCCCAGAGGGATGGGCCGGCCGAGGGCTCACCCACTTACCCACAGTGGGATCCTTGCAACATGTTACTGGCATCGGCCCCCCGACGTCCCTCCCGCGCGGTCCCGCCCCTCGCCCCGGGCCCCGCCCCTCGCCCCGGGCCCCGCCCTTCACGCACGCCGCGCCGCGCCGCCGCAGTCTCCGCCGGCGGGCAGCCTTGGCTGCTGCGCTCTCGGCGTCTTCCTTCCGGGCTCGCCAACGCCTTCGCTCAGCCCGCCTCTCTCCTTTCGGGGCGGTTGGGCTACGCGCCTGTGGGGCTGGACGCGGAGCCAGCGACCGAGCCTATGGGGCGCGGCGGCGTCGTCGGTGGCGGCTGGGTCGGGACCCGACGGGCGGCAGAGCTGAGGTGGAGGCGGAAGGAGGTGGAAGGAGGCGGTGGCAGCCGAGGAGGGAAGATGGCGGCGCCCGTCCCGCTGAGAGTGTCGGTGCCGCCGTGGGAGCGGGTGGCCTGGTATGCCGTGTGCGGATCCTGCTCTCCATCTCCGCCGACCATGTGGAGCGGGACCTCGAGCACCGGGCCCTCTGCAACCTGGAGCCCTAGGTGAAGTGCTCCGCCGCCCTTGTGACCAGGTAGCCGGCGTTGGGGAGTGGGCGGGGAGCGGCCGCGCGGGGCGAGGGCGGAGGCTGGGGGTGGGAAGCGCGAGGCTGGAGCTCGGGCCTGGGGGCAGCGGGGACCGGGCCGCGCGGGAACGGACGGGGGCCGGGCCGGGGCGGGCGGGGGGGCTGCGGCTGGGCACTCCTGCCCCAGGGGCGGCCCGGGCCCAGACCGCGCTGCGAAGGTGGCGGGGCCTCGGAGCCGCCAGGGAGGGATGAGGTGACAGAGCACAGCTGGCAGGCTGGGATGGTCGGGGTGCGGTCGGGCGGGCGGGGGCCGTGCCGGGCTGGAGCAGGAGGGTCTGAGGAGGGTGGGTCCCGGCTGGCCTGACAGGTTTTCTGGTTCTTAAGAGGCGGGTGTGTGGGATCCTGTCCACCGCACCCGCGAGGCCAGCGGCCACCTCTTGTCCCTTCATCGCTGCAGTCGAGGCTTTGGGGCCGGCGCGGACTCGGGGGGCTTGCGTTTCTCGGTGTCTTCCTGGTGCTGGGACAGGTGTTTCCGCCGTCAGGCCTCTGTATTCCGGCGCCAGTGAGAATTACCGGGACGGTGACATTTGCGGACAAGCATGAATTTGACCCTACTCTGAAAGAAGATTCTGACGCTTAACATGTTTGATGTCTTGGGTTTCCCCTGGTATATTTCAGTGTGCCGGGAGGAGGAAATGGTCTGAGTTTGGGTCTGAGTTTAAGCTTCATTGGAGTAAAGGACAAGTATGTTATGTGTATGGTGGTGTTTCAGGCATTGGGATGACTTCTAAACGTTGTTAATAGGATACCCACAACAGATTAAAAGCACACGCTTTGCGAAACTTGAGCGATTGGTTTGTGTTACTGATCATTTTAGTTTTTTTTCTTAATGTTGTAATTGGTCTGTTACGTTTTATTTTAACGCATTAAATTTTCCTAGGCAAGTTACTTTGAAAAAGGGAGGAATTTACATTTTAAAGGTGACCGCTATTTTTCTGTTTGTTTTGGGGGGGATTAAAAACAAGTCGAAGGAATGATTTCAGAATTGATAGGTTACGATTTTAAATTAACATGTTTGTTAACAGTAGTCACACTTGAGCAATTGCTTCCCCTCCTGTCGTTTGGTAAATTGGTATGTAGACAGAAATATATAGCTCACTAGTTTATTTCGACTCACATATTGTTGATAATATGAACAAGGTAGCATTGGGGTTTGTCTTGTTATTGGTTACAAACTTCAGGGTGCGGATCTTTCCACTTAGCCTTCTCATGGACCAGATACTCTGTCTCATTTGCTCTTAAACCAAATCCTGTAGCTTTTTACAGGGGAAATAATTATCACATGGCCAAATGAAACATTTTGAAAATGCAATTAAAATGTAGGTATTAGTTTACAGGGGAAAATACAAAAAGCTCACATTTGTTGTTGGTGGTTATTCTGAACCAAGTTAATAGGCTGATTAGAGAGAAACACTGAGTGTCTTTTATGCAATTTTTTTTTGGGGCTAGAATGCAATCTAAATATGGGTATGCCTATAATTGTCGTTAATAATGGAGATATAAAACAAAATGAGGGAAGAGAATAAACAAGGAGCCAACCAAGATTTCGTTTAAACTTCTAAGTTGATATGATGTGGTACTGATAAGAGTGTATATTTTGTATATTTAAAGTGGAGAGTTCTATAAATGTTAATTACATTTACTTGTTCCAGATCTGAGTTCAAGTCCTGGATATCGTTGTTAATTTTCTGTCTCACTGATTTGTCTAATATTAATGTTGAAATCTCCCACTATTATTATGTGGGAGTCTGTCTCTTTATAAGTCTTGTATGTCTGCGTATTCCTGTATTGGGTGCATATATATTTAGGATCTTTAGCTCTTCTTGTTGTTGCATTGAACCTTTTATCATTATATAATGTCCTTCTTTGCTTCTTTTGATCTTTGTTGCTTAATTGTAACTTCTGCTTTTTATTTATTTATTTTAGCTCTCTGGTTGGTAAATCCTTCTCCATCCCTTGTTTTGAGTCTTTGTGTATCCTTGAATGTGAGATGGGTCTGGATGCAGCATACTGATGGGTTTTAGTTTTTTATTCAAATTGCCTGTCTGTCTTTGGATTGGGGGATTTAGTCAATTTAAATTTAGAATAAATAATAATATATGTGAGTTTAATACTGCCATTTAATATTAGCTGGCTATTTTACCCATTAGTTGATGTAAATTCTTCATTATATTGATGCTCTTTTTGATAATTTTTTTAGAAAGGCTGATACTGTTTGTTCCTTTCTATGTGTAGTGGTTCTTTCAGAAGCTCTTGTAAAGCAGGCCTGGTGGTGATGAAATCTCTGAGTGCTTGCTTATTCACAAAAAACTTTATTTTTCCTTCACTTGTGAAGCTTAGTTTGGCTGGATGTGAAATTCTAGGTTGAAAGTTCTTTTCTTTAAGGATGTCGAATATTGGTCCCCACTCTCTTCTGGCTTGTAGGGTTTCTGCTGAGAGATCTGCTGTAAGTCCGATAGGCTTCCCTTTGTGGGTAACCTGACCTTTCTCTCTGGCTGCCCTTAGTATTTTCTCCTTCATTTCAACCCTGGTGAATCTGACGATTATGTGCCTTGGAGTTGCTCTTCTTGAGGAATATCTCTGTGGTGTTCTCTGTATTACCTGGAGTTGAATATTATCCTGCCTTACTAGGTTGGGAAAATTTTCCTGAATAATGTCCTGCAGCGTGTTTTCCAGCTTGGATTCATTCTCTTCATCACATTCAGGTACACCTATCAAGCGTAGATTAGGTCTTTTCACATAGTCCCATATTTCTTGGAGACTTTGCTCGTTCCTTTTTTCTCTAATCTTGTCTTCTTGTTTTATTTCATTGAGTTGGTCTTTGATATCCTTTCTTCTGTTTGATCAATTCGGCTGTTAAAACTTGTGCATACTTCACGAAGTTCTCGTATTGTGTTTTTCAGCTCCATCAATTCACTTATATTCCTCTCTAAATTGTGTATTCTTGTTAACATTTCGTCAAATCTTTTTTCAAAGTTCTTAGTTACTTTAGATTGGGTTAGAACAAGTTCTTTTAATTCACAGAAGTTTCTCATTATTCACATTTGAAGCCTGCTTCTGTAGTTGGAACGCACTTGTTCTCCCTCAAGCCTTGTTCCATTGCTGATGAGGAACTGTGATCCCCTGCTGAGGGAGAGGCGTTCTAATCTTGGGTATTCTCAGCCTTTTTTGGCTGTTTTCTTCCCTTCGTTAAAAATTTATCCATCTGTGGTCTTTGTATTTACCGTCTTTGTAATTGGGTTTCTGAGTGGACGTCCAACTTATTGATTCTCAGCACCGAAATCTGAGCAACCCACTGCACCGACTAAATCAGCGGCGTTAAGATTGATGGTGCAAGCCGGGCGCGGTGGCTCAAGCCTGTAATCCCAGCACTTTGGGAGGCTGAGGCGGGTGGATCACGAGGTCGAGAGATCGAGACCATCCTGGTCAACATGGTGAAACCCCGTCTCTACTAAAGATACAAAAAATTAGCTGGGCATGGTGGCACGAGCCTGTAATCCCAGCTACTCAGGAGGCTGAGGCAGGAGAATTGCCTGAACCCAGGAGGCGGAGGTTGCAGTGAGCCGAGATCGCGCCATTGCACTCCAGCCTGGGTAACGAGCGAAACTCCGTCTCAAAAAAAAAAAAAAGTTTGTTCCTGGAATGTTTGCCTTCTAAACCTGAAGGTGTGAGGACTTGGTTTGTCACACCAAGTTAGCTAACAGATAGGCGATGGGGGTGAGCTATCCGGAAGACTTAGCGGGTTAGCCTAGGGAGGAAGGAGATAGGGCATCTCGGCACCTGGAGGGAGGGAGAGGGAGAAGAGTTTGTTTGAATCTGTCCCAGGTTGGGGTAGCCCTTTCTGAGGGAGGCCTTGTCATGTGGACCTGCTGCACATAGAGACAGGAGAATTGGACCTGAGGTGTGGTGCTAGCTAAAGCACCACACAGATCTGGAAATTTAAGAGGAGTTCATTTCTTCGATCATTAGAAAGAACTTGAAAGGGTAGCAAACCTGTGGTCATTTGAGAAGAGGAGCAAGTGGTTATATTTGAAGGTAACATACTCAACTGGGTTGAGAAAGAACTGGAATCTAGAGCTTGCCTGTAAAAAGTGCAAAACCAGGCGTTCTTGTAAACCTTGTACTCTTGTAAACACTGATAAGACATGGCACTGAGCCCTGGGCCTTGCTTCTATAAAGTGCTTCTACAGGCTGAGGATCCCTAATCCGAAAATCCAAACTCTGAAATTTCCTGGTGAGCATTTCCTTTGAGTGTCATATTGGCACTCACAGTTTCGGGATTTTGCACTTTGAGATTTGGGATGCTCAAAAGGTATATAATGCACATAATATTCCCAAATCTGAAAAAATTGCAAATCCAAAGTATTTCTGCTCCAAAGTGTTAAGGAGTAGTCAACCTTTAATGGATTGTACTAGACGTGTATTAGATTACCAGTTTTCAAAATTTGTATCTCAGAATCCTTGTTCTGTGTCGGCGAAACAGATGTCACATGCTTTTGATTCACATTTTAATGTTTTAAACTTTAAAATATTATAAATGTTTATATACACTCAAGTGCATATCATGCTAAATTTTAAAATATTAGGACAACTGATTTGTACTGCCAGGTTATCTCAAGAGAGTTATACTGAGTGAAGGCTGGGCGTGGTGGCTCACACCTGTAATCCCAGCACTTTGTGAGGCCAAGGCAGGTGGATCACCTGAGGTCAGCAGTTCAAGACCAGCCTGACCAACATGACAAAACCGTGTCTCTATAAAAAATAAATAAATAAATAAGCCAGGCGTGGTGGCGCATGCCTGTAACCCCAGCTACTCGAGAGGCTGAGGTGGGAGAATCACTTGAACCTGGGAGGTAGAAATTGCAGTGAGCCAAGATTGTGCCACTGTAACCAGCCTGGATGACAGAGCAAGACTCCGTCTCAAAAAAAAGAGAGAGAGTCAAAAGTTA